AAGGATTCATMTCTCAYATTTCCKGGGTCTTTCAAATAAAATGGTGGAGATTCTAAGGTATTCATTCCTGTTATAAACGACTYTGAATTATAAGCCAACTTTTAACAATTCTTAGCTAAAATAKCAACCGATGTGAGAACTTTGGTTCCTTAGTAGACGTCTTACTAGACTCTACTGAGGCCCCTATGATAGTTCGCGGCCATTTCGGAATTATCGAAAAATTCGTAACTTTAACGTATCACACACACACAAAACAAAACCCAGCTTTTAACCGATTTTCATGAAGGCACAAGATTGTATCTTTCCATAGTGGCTTTCCTCATTTTTGGCGGAAAAAATTGAGTTCAGTTGCACTTTAAGGATAGCCAGACTAATGTTCTACTTTTTTGAAATAGCCTGTTCGATATGAACCGTAACTTTCTGGTACCTGGTCTTAGTGTGCCTCAAGGCTTGCATCAACCATGGACTAGACAAATCCTGGATTTGAATATCTCTCTATACAAAGTCATTAGCATTAAGGTGGAGAAGGTTAAAATATCAAAGGAAAACTTCAAAATAGTTAACAACACTGATACTACAATAATACAAGTAAGCTTATTCATATGATGTAAGTACAGAAAACACAAATTAAAGATACTTTGTCAACGTGTTAGTTAATTAGACGATAAAGATAAGTGGCCGGGTACTCCCCTATATTTCTATACCGGAATGTTGCGTCAAATAGTATCACGTATGGTTTTTGGCCTTCATTTCTTCAATAGGTAGTAGGGTATAGAGGTATACTTTCTATATTTTCMATGTCTTATACAGGGTGTGTCGATATTTTTCTAGTAGTCCGCCTATCGAGTCAAAAAGAAAAAAAAAACGCGGCATATTGAACGGGGAAACTGCTTGTTTTTTATGCCAAAGCCCGAGTTTTAACCCTATTCAGACTGGGGGGTTAGGCTTTAATTGAGCCCCCCCTCGAGTAAAATGCCAATAACTTTCGAACCAAGACAGCTAAAGCTCTGAAACTTTCGGAATTTTCCTCAAATTTATCTGGGCAAATTTTGATGTCATTTTGTTGTTGATATCGTCATCCATGTTGCCATGGCAACCAGTTTTTGACACATAGGTTTTCAAAAATATGCTTAATTTTTCATTTTGAAAGCTTATTTCTTGTTTTATTATGCATCTTTTACGTATTTGAGCTTGATCCCATTCCTGACTCTACAATACCATAATAGTTTTTGGACAACAAAAACTTTGGGGGAGGGGTGGGTGGTTTTCAGTCATTTTTTCATATGGGAGAAAAGTTCATTCAAATCATCAGTAACACTTTGAAACTCACTTTTTTATTCATTAAATGTTAGTTTGAGAAGTATTTCAGACATTTTGAGCTGTTTGCCTCAATACTTAGCTTTTTAATGGGATTTATGACGATTTCTACGTCAGTATGACGTCACATTTGGTTCCCACGGATCAAGGGATCAAGACTGGTTGTGGTAGTTCGTCTTTTACGTGGGCGACCATTGTGTGAAAATTTCATGCTGATGGACGTATTGAGCCCCCTCCCCCCCCCCCCCCCCCCCCAGTAACAAATTGCAAAAAAAAGCCCAGTCTGAATAGGGTTAATATTGTCTTTATTTTACCAATTTGTTTTGAATTGGATATGGAATTTTATGATTTTTCTGTCTTGAATAGGGTCAGGATTTAGAGGTACAAGCGGAAAGTCCACGTTCTAATCCGGATGAARTACTTCCCGAATTTAATGGGAGGGTTAAATTTTCGCATCTTCCTTTGTTAAATACTTGCTGGTCATTTTTCTGTATTTAAGTGCGGGTACGATGAGATTCGAGGATAGGCGTTTTTTTTTAGTTTTTGCTAGTTTATACTATAAACAATACCATAAATATGGTATTTTACATTTTAGATGAAGAGAACATGTTGAAATTTGCCATTATTGTCGTCGATTTTCAATCCGCCATTAATCGGCAGTCGTTTTGGAAGATGAAGACCGTTAGGGGCTGATAGCGATTTTTGACGTCATATGCTTAACACGAGTGGATTTGTCAACATGAACTAACTGTGTGAATCCAATGTGAATCGAATGTTGTTTTCGAAATAATGCAATGCTTTTGGCACAAACTGTTATCTTTACGTTATTAGCTGTATTGAACATTCATCACTGTCTCCATACATATATTCCATGTGATGTTCCAGCTCAGTTTTCTGTTTCTGAATGAGACGTGGCTGTCTGACAAGTTTTGTTGTCAAAAGCACAACAAGCAAACAAGTGTGAAGGTTTGATTGCTAAAATTATTTTTAGATATTAAGATATTTTGAATTTCATAATCTTGGTCGTGCTATTGAATAGTTGGAAGAGGGAACTAATCGTTAGAAGGATATCATTTTCAGTAATTCAGTAGTTCAGTAATTTTATCGACATTAACTTGTATCGCCGTCTAATATCCGACGCAATGTAATAAAAAAAACACCTTCGCACTTTTGCTGATTGTTGTCATGTTGTCACTATTTTACAATTCTTCTCTCTATAGGCATATATTTTTTACATTGTAGTGTATCCGCTCTGAAACATTAAAGATAAACGGCGATTCAAAACATGTTTTGAGATGAATTATCACAGTACTCATATTGACTCCCTGATCAAGCAAGTATTCTATAAGCTGCCAATTTTCTTTTGCGTCTCAGCCCCAAAGGACAAAAAGTATGTCGTTTTATGCGAGAGCACTTTTAAATACTTGGTCTTTTTCCATGCGTATTAAAACAAAACAAATTACGACATCATTATAGTGAATTCAATAGCATCACGCGCGGTGATATTTTGTAATCAGTTTAATCAACAGTTCAAAGCCGAACTTATCTGTAGCATGACTGAAGTCTAAAGTTATGAAGACTGCAAAGAAAATAAAAACCGTTTTTATATTCATTTTCTTCAGGATGTCTTCAAATCTGGGAATTGAACTGGCCGTGTGCTCCCCATCTCAATGATATGCCTTCGAAGAGCGGATGGATAGTGTGTTTGTTATAGGCCGAAATATATAACTTGCAATTTTTTCAACGATTGTATTTGAACTCGGAAAGTCTCAGAGACATAACAAACATTTGATTCGATGATCCTAACTTTGTTTCTTCATTATTTTATACGCTTCAAACCTTCATTTCCCTTACTTTTGTATGTCTGAAGGACAAACAACCTCGCTCCTGGGTTAAGCATATGACGTCATGTGCTTCACGTTTGGGTAAAACCGCCAACCGATGTCAATTCGGCTCAGATTAATGGCGGATAGGAAAAACCGACTTTCAAAGCTCGATTTCTCCTGCTTTTTAATAATGTACCGATAAAAAATTCTCAGAAATACTTATTCGAATCTCCATAAAGAGGTATATGTACAAAAACAGCTCAAATTCGATGTTCGGTTTTCATCGTACCCGCACTTAAAGCTGTTATGTTTTCAAGGGAAACAAGA